AACATGTCCAGTTTTTCAGAACCTGAAACTGTGTCTTTCGAAAATCATAATGTATTTTGAAAAGCAAACAAAACAAATATTTTGAAGTCTTGAAATTAGATGTAATCATTATTATTAACTTCTCCCCATTCTTCCTGTGTAGCCTTTCTCCAAACAGACCCATTGGTGAGATGAAGAAGATTCTGGGGAATCTAATGGACTTCTTCATGCCAGGAACCATTAAGAAGAATGTGCTGAAGGCTGCAACAATGTCTCCAGTTGAGATGACCAAAGGTTCCTTTTTCTTCCTGCTTTCCTTCGTCACTGGATGCTTGCTGTTTGGATTCTCAGCAATCAAGTAAGTAGATTATGCTAATAGTTACATTTCCATGATCAATGAGACAAATCCAAAACTACAAAATTTACAATAGCTCTAGTAAATATTTCATGGCAGTAAGAGGTCTCTGACTTCTTCATCATCAGGACTAAAATTATGTTACTATTTTCAATCTATGATCATATTAATATGTGACAGAAAGAAATAATTTACTTTTTGTCAGATATTGGTATCACTTAGCTTTTCCCAAAACGTGCAATGGACAAAGATGAACTTGCATTATTCCAGAAGAAAGTTCATAATAGAAATGTCATAAATGCATGAATCACTGTAATTTGCTGTTTGCTGATTGATGGTCTGCCCCCTCCCATTCTTCCCAAGTTGGCAGGGTGGGGTAAAAAAGGGACTGAAAGGTTTTGAGGGTCCAAGTTTGACTTCACATAATCTGCTGCAAAATGATATCAGAATAATGATTTACTATAGACATTGCAGAAAAAATGTAAGAAGTGTTTTTTTTGTGTGAAAATTGATTTTGGCCTTGAACCTTTTGGGTATTCTTCCATGTCAAAAGTGATTCATCTGCTCGACCCACAGATTGATCTCTAGATCTGTGGCGTTGTGTAAGCAGATTTGCAACAACAAAATAACTTTATATCAGATAACTTTATTGCACAACAATTGTACAGTGTACAAAGTATGGCATCTACTAACTTAAGCAAGTACGTGTCAACTACATTTTCATAAGGCTAACCTAATACAAAAATGGGTGGCTAGTATGAGATAGGTCTCAACTTATACAATCGTTGGAGGAGTTTATAATATCCATACAGTCTTTAATATATATCCCTATGTATACATGTAGCATGTAGGGGTTGTCACAAGTCAATATGTATTTGAATTTTCTTTCCATGTTCATTGTGACAGTGTACATTATTAGGATTTTCTTCATAATTGCTACAAGGGTGCTCAAAGTTTTTGTCTCGATGCCACAAAATTTTTTCTATGGGATTTAATCTACGGAAAAATTTTGTGCATTATTGTAGAACTGTGAATTTGACTTGACCGTGTAAACTGTAAATTTGGCACAACAATACATGCTATTCTGTGTATCTTTTAGTAATCAACAAACTGCATTTAGCCCTTCTTTGTGTGAATATGCAACACATGTACATTTGTAATACTCTATAGATCATAATGATTGTTATTGTCATTGAGAAATGTATTTGTCATATTTTTATAAGTGCGAATGTGTTTCAGGTTTGCCTTCCTGCTTTCGTTCCAAGTTTTGTTCAATAATGCGATAATGCGGTCATTAAGAAAGAAAATATTCCCTGAAAAAAAAGAAGAGGAAGCAGTGGCAGATGCCATTGAAAAACCGGTGGCATCAAGAACCATCTATCGAGAGATACCCGACTACCTCAAGGAGCAGGAACGAAACACAAGGTAATGACAACCACATTGACCTCTGAATCAACCACAGAGTATATATATATCATGGGTGTTCAAACCCCAGGCAACATTTGACTGTGTTGTCCTTTGCCATTTGACTGTGTTGCAACATTTGACTGTGTTGACCTTTGCCAAGAAGGTTATGTTTCAGTAGCATGCGTGTGTGTGTTGTATGCATGGATGTGGTTTAGCACAATAACTCAAGAAGGTATGGATGAAACGTCATGAAATTTGGTAGGTCTTGATGAGATGCCTTGGTACTGCAGCAGAATTTCCGATTTTGATATCTCACGATCCAGACATGCGAATTTTGAATGGTAGATACATGTACATGTACATGTACATATAACGTTACACATGTTGCTCTTGTGCTTTGGAAGATTTAATATTAGTTTGGCCCCCTAGCAGCTTGTTCTGGAACTGCAGTGGCAATTGATTAAAAAATTTTGGAGGAAGGATAAGTCATAACTCATAGAAAGGCTGAAATTTGCTCGGGAGAAAATGCAGCAAATGGCTTCACCACATCCCCCGCACCTGTTCTAATGCTGCTCTACTCTTGTTTTTTTGTCATTGTTTAATAGAATAGCCTCCGTGTTTGGTATGGAGATCATCAGAGGAGATGAGGAGGGTGAAATGAAGATGAAGATGGTTCACGTTGCCAAGGCTGCACAGCAGGCTGAAACAGATGATGAGACGGAAGAAGAGCATGAAGAGGAGACAGAAGAAGAGGAAACAGCTGAGAAAGAAGAAGTAATACAATTGGAATTTTTTAGAGCCCAAGATGCTGAAACTATAGACTTATTGTATTTTCATCTGTATTTTCATTCTTGAGCTATGATATTGACAGATAAAGATCACAACGATTAAAGCTGCACAGCTGTGTACTTCACTTCAGTGTAGCGCCTTACACCCAAGCGTAATGGCTCACGAAACTTACGGCAGGTTTTTGGTCATTTTACTGGTGGAACATTGTATCGCAATTATTATAGTGTTTAACACAGGTCGATCTGAGAAGAGAGTTTAGAAATTATAATACACAAATTATGACCATAACAATCTACAACTGTTTTTCTGTCCCAAACATGTCCTCTTTTTACGATTACGCGACTTGCTCGAAAGCGGCTGTTTGAAAAGCAAAACCTGGATTTTGACACGCTCGTCAACCCCCGAACAAGCAAATTCAAACAGATTTTTCACCTGTCTGTTGTCGGAGTGTACAAACTAAAACAAACTTTGTTAGATTACCGATATTAACACAAAAACGTGGTTATTTTTAGGCACGTGCTCCCATGCATAACCCCGCAACAAGGATTCTTCAAACTGCATGTAGTACAGAATTAGGGGTAGGTCGGAATTAGCCCCCCCCCTTTCACATGTTTGTAATTCAAACAATGAATTATACACTTAAACCACTGTCTTGATAGATGGAGAAACTAAAACAACTCTGAAGAGAACAGCCTTCTGTCAACTATTGGGGCATTTTGGAGTTGATTCAGAGGCTGAAAGTTTTTTTTTCAAATCAGAACAAAATGAAGTGGGTGAATCTGTGAACCAACAAATCAAATTAGTGTGGCCTAATCATGCAAATAATGACTAGATTTGCCTAATTAATGTAAAAATGCTATTATTCCTTAGTTGTAAATGATGGGAATTTATACATAACTTGTAAGTTAGTTAAAGGCTAACATAATTACAATACATTATATTACGTGGGGCATTTGCATAATTCAAGATGAAATGTTGAAATGAAACCTTGCCAAAGGATAGGACTTTTACCTTTATAATGTAATTTGAGTCAAGAACATCATAAATTGAATAGATAATGCTGATTATAACATTTTTCCGTAATCAGTTAGACAAATCCAAAAACAAACATTTACACACAAAAGCTCTAAATTTTTCATGTGTTCTCGGAATTCTTGTTTTTCTAGAAATACAATATTGTAATTACTTGATCTGTTGACTTTCAGATTCCCACAGAAAAGGGAGCTGAAGCAGCTGAAGGTGCTGATGAGGAGTAAGTTTCATTTATCACTCAATCTGTTGTACCAGACAGGCCACCAAATAGATTGGATATTTAACAAGGATAATATTATTCAATAATTTTTTAAGAATCTCATTGGATTAACTGGCAGCAGAAATTAAGAACTGGATGAATGACTTGCAAGATTCAATTAATGTTCCCAAATGTCGGAAGAGTATAGTTTTTGGTCCAAAAGTTCATTGAATAATACCTATCACATTTGACTATTTTCATGGACCAGTGTCCAGTGTTTCATTGGTGTCATATGGTCTTTGACGATGGACAACCAGAGAGAACATCATTACATTTTGTTTATTACAAATGTATGTTTTCAGAGGCATTCGTGTACTGTGTGTGTGTGTGTGTGTGTGTCTGTGTGTGTGTCTGTGGATATGATAACTTGAGAAGGTTTAAATGGATTGTCTTGATACTTGGTAGGTGGGTAGGTCTTGATGAGACCTGGAAATGATCACGGCAGATATTGGGCCCCCTAGCGGCAACTTAAGGTACTGCAGCTGAACTTCTGGTTTTGATGACCTAGACATGCCAGGGTGATGAAATTTGGATGATTGGTAGCTCCTGTGCTGGGGAAGAAGTGACTTGAGTTTGGGCTCCCTGGCGGCTTGCCCTGGAACTGCAATGGCATTTGTTTAATAATATTCAAAACAGGACAACTCAAGAACCGGTTGACGGATCATCATGATTTTTGGTGTGTCGGTATGATGATGCTTGACATAATTATTCGACAATTATGCAAGTATGGATGTACTTGGCTTAATTTATGAAATTCTATAAATCAGTTGCATTAAATGATAGGATTATTCCATCTTGTGGCATACATGTATGTAAACAAGAGAAACACAAGCAGATATTGAATAAATGTAAATTTAGACTTAATTTGCATAATGAAAAAAATGTAAGTCAGCAATAGCAGAAGGTGAACATCATTGAACATAATTTAGTCAGATAAGGACCTCATTTGCATAATTTATTTACGCCAGAATGGCATTCTTTGTTAAGATTTTGTCTTTTGATGAAGAATATGATCAACTGATATAATTCATGGAAATGGGGATCCTATTTGCATAATCAGGGGGATTAATCTATAATTTGTCAGTCAAAGATAAACATCATTTGGCGAAGGTATGAGGTCATGGAACTCTGGTATTTATATGTTTATGAAGTACCCCAAAAAGTGAATCTCTCGTAAAAGTTCAGCAGACTGTAAGCCCCCAGGCATAGTAATATATACATGTACATTGTATTGACACAGGATAGCTCTGCATGGGAGAATGCTTTTTGTTATAGGTGCTGTCTGCTGCGGGCCTTTAGTATGGACCCCTTTTATAAATTAAAGCAGATATTAAGAGACGTATACATTTATCACCTGAACAATGACAGGGAGGTTCTGGAAGATGAGGTGTTTGAAGAATCTCCTGAGGAGGAGCAGCCACAGAAGAAGCGCAGGAAGAAGGTGGAAGAGGAGGAGAAGCCTCCAGAGAACAAGTTCTCTGTGCTGGTGGAACAGATCATGAGTGTGTTTGCTCGCAACTTCTACAACATGAAACACTTGGCTCTCATGGTGACCTTCTGTGTCAACTTCATCTTGCTCTTCTATAAGGTAAGACATCAACTTGAACCATACTTACAAATAGGAAGTTTTAACACGGAAACATTGAGTACTGTCCTTTCGTAGTACATGTATGCAGAGGGAGGTATGATATAAAAGTCACATTGTTGACATCTTATCCAGATCTCCAGTATGGATGATGACAATGGTGAGGAGAACGGCAACGGTGATGAGGATGGGGACTTTGAGAATGGAGATGAGGAAGACGAAGACTTTGAGTCAGTTATTATAGAGGAAGGGTTGGAGTTCCTGGAGCCTGTATTACAACTGCTGAGCATCATACACACCATGGTCGCTATCTCCATCGTCATCTCTTACTATCACCTCAAGGTAATCACAGCAGAGCAGACAATTCTAAATCTGTCTTTTGAAATGGCTGTTTACTAATAAATGTTTTGCAAATAGATATTACGTATGAAGTTGTAGATGGATGTATTTTTATGACATTTGGTACGTAGGTAATGTCACGCCTTTTTGTTCCTTTTTGCGCCTTTTTGCATTTTCTGTACATTGCTTGAGATGTGGCCCTTCATGTGGCTTAGCCACCTACTGATTTTTAGTATGTTGTTAGCGTAAGTGACATAATTAATTGACGCATATACAAGGGAATTCTACATATCCATTGTGTTCCATGATAGGACAATATATATTTTGTATTTGACATGTAACTGAGAAAGATATGAATTATGCAGGTAAGGTCCTAATTTGCATAATCAATGACAGAATACTATTATTAATAGTATCAGTCTATAGTGGTAAATGACAGAAATGTGAAGTTGATCTAAACCATTCTCTTCAGATGTTGACACCTCTCATAACTTGTGCGATTGTGACATCTGGTGATTTCTCTGGCGTACAAGTACGTAGTCTAGCAGGTGCCACTCTGTGCATCCAGATCGTCTTGTGCAGGGTGTGTACTAAATGAAACAGGAAGTTTGCAATGACAAGTGAGTGTTCAGCACAGACAGTGAGGAAGCATAAATGGCAGGAATTAAAGACTTGCAGCATTTATAAGTTTAGTGAAAGTGAGCATCGTTAAGCACGAACTCGCTCACACTCACTATCCAGGATGTGATTATTCTGCTGCTGTTGTACCTGTCGCAGGTGTCAGTAGCAGTTGGCTAGTAGTACAGGACTTATTTGCATAATCAGGTCCTCATTGTCATTGAACAATATGATTCATGAAAATGCAATCTTATTAGCATAGTCAATGGCAAACGTTCATGATTCATTGGTCATATTAACTACTTTATCATTTGGTAAAGGTATGATGTCATTGAACTCCTATTGATTGTATGTATGCATGATTTTCGTGTCAGATTCCTCTTGTGATCTTCAAGAGAGAGAAGGAAGTTGCCCGTGACCTGGAGTTCGAAGGCAAGTGGATTGTGGAGCAGCCGTCTGAGGATGACTTCAAGGGACAATGGGATAGATTAGTCTTACCAACATCGTAAGTATGACGAGATGGAGGGGGCTTACAAGTCGGGTAGGGCTAGATGAAACGAAATCAACTTGTAGATGACTAGTTTAGGACACCTTACAAACAGTACATTGAGTCATGAAAGTTCCTCTGTGTTTGTAGTAATCGTAGTAAAATCATTGAACTTTATTCCAACACACAGTTTACAGAGAGATCAAGTTTTCAGCCACCACTGTCGCCTTCATCGGGATAATTAATGACCAATCACTTCACAACGTGATCTTGCGAGAATTACAGTTTACAAACACGTGACCTTATTCTTAAAAAGTATTTCGTGTGAATAAGGTCACGTGTTTGTAAACCGTAATTCTCGCGAGATCACGTTGTGAAGTGATTGGTCATTAATTATCCTGACAAAGGCGACAGTGGTTGCTGAAAATTTGATCCCTGTACAATTGTGTGTTGGAATAAAGTTCAACCATTTACTAGGATTCGTCCAGTTATCGACAAAGTGTTACGCACAAACCAAAATGGCTTCCGTCAAGGTAGATCAACTACTTCTCACATTCTCGCGCTCAGATGCATTGTAGAAGAGTTGAGAGACTTTGACCAAGAGGCAGTACTTGTGTTTATTGACTTCCGCAAGGCATTTGATTTGATAAATCGCCACAAAATGTTTCAAATTTTGGATTGGAGGGCCTGAAACTTGTTTTAGCAATGAACAACAGGCAGTTCTGGCGATCAAACTTCGTCTGCTCCACCTCTACGGATGATGATGATAATGATGATGATGATGAGACACTTAATTGTTGTTCTATAGGTCGTTTCCAAACTTCTACTTCGACAAGTTTGTCAAGAGAAGGGTGAGTGTTCTATATACTATATATTCTATATCAGGCATCTGAAATTTCCACCCCATGTAATCATCTAGTACATGTAATAGTAGTATGTCTTAGGGCTGTTTCCGGTTTGTTACCGAGTAGTCACAAAGTCAATATAACAGGCTGGTAAACATTTCAAACAATAAATTTCTGAATGCATTGATGAATGAATAAATAAGCTGCAAGGGGTAGGAAGACAAAAACTTCATTCCTGTGCTTGTGCTAGAAGTATGAACATTTGGGTAATTCATGTAGTGAATGGTAAATGCCATCCTTTTTGAAATCATGATAAAAGTGAATTTTGTTTAGTGTTATGATTGTAATACTTCAGTTTATGTAACAAGTCATCTTCACTATGTATCCAATATCTCATGGCCAGCTAGAATACTTGTGAATGTACCAAATTTAATGTACTCACCAAAAGAGATTGATTTTATCAAACAAGTAAACAATTTGAATGTACCCTGTTGTAATATGAGGGATTTGTACTAATGTGACTGAAGTACAAAATGTATAAATTAAGATTAGAATTAGGACAACATTTTTATGACTAATGTGCAAATGTCATTACTGTAACATCTTTATATTGAATACGGAAGCTGTATACTATAACTTACACAGTAAAAACACATGTTGCCCCAAAATATGCAAATACATGTAGAGACAACGCTGGTGTTTTTAGCACCAATTTGTTGTTTCATAATTGTTACATTCAGTCAATTATGTGTCCTTTCCCACAGACCAGAGAGAAGTACTCAGAGACACATGACTTTGAAAGGATGACAGCACTTCTTGGCATGGAAGATGGAGTCAGTGGGGAAACTAAGGAAAGCCCTTCATCGCTGTTTTCTATGTAGGTTCTCTTACAAAATACAAATGAATAACGAATGGAAACAAGATGACACAGTCATAATTGCAAGATATGTAAAAACCTGGGTGACAATTGCAACACATTTTTTGTTTTATCATGAATTTTTTTCATCACTTTTTCCTGCTATTTTTAGGCTTTTAAAACATCAGCATTCATCTGTTCATTTGAACATTTCACTCTGTTCTTATTCTAGTTGTCTTTATGCGAAAAACTAAAAATGTATAATTATTAGATTTTTTGGATTGGATTAAGTATTTTATAGAAATGACACTGAAATATTTGAAGGTTATTGAAATCGTGTATATGTTAAAATGTTATTGATTGTTCAGGCTGAAAAACGTGGACTGGAGGTACCAGCTGTGGAAGATGGGTGTGACTCTGACTGACCAAGACTTCCTGTACCAGCTTGGTTTCCTCTTGTTCTCTATGCTGGGGCATGTCAACTACTTCTTCTTTGCTGCTCATCTGGTAGATGTTATCATGGGCTACAAGACTCTCCGGGTTATTCTTCAGGCTATCACCCACAATGGCAAGCAGGTATGGACTTCAGCTTAGTCTTCACAAATTACCCATATCAGCAATCCTGCAATCCTTTGAAGCCTTCAGTCCATGTTTCAGGACGGAACATTCATGAGAACTTTATTATTCATTGAGCAACCCGATTTACGGCAGTAATTAAGCCAACAGAGAGGACTGCAATGCATGGTATAGTAATTCAATACTACTACCGTGCTGTCAAAACCAAGATTATAGCCTCCTTGGTCAAAACCAGCTGTGCGCAAAAATTACATTTTGGGCCAGCTACTTTTGTGTGGAAGGAGGAGTGCACTCCTGAGTTGACCGGATCTATTACAGCCTGACCTATTCAAACTAAAGGTGCTACTGTATTAGCAGAAAAGCTGTGTGTAGTTTGAAAACAAAAACCTGACAGGTGTTATTTTGTTCTGTACTGTAGTGTCTCACTCACTCTCTCTCTCCCACTGTAGTGTACTGTTACAATAACTCATATATTTCATGGAGGTATGAGATCCCCGAATTCTTGTTTAATAATCAATTTGGTCTAGAGTACAAAAGAATCTCTGTACTCTTTTCTTATAGTTATACTACGGAACACCCTGACAGGGTTTTCCCCAGATTGTACTGACGCGCTGTCACCCGTGTTAGGCCCCCCTACATTATTTGATTTTGGAGTGTTTAACTGAAAAAAAACTTTTACAAGAAATTCTGCTTACTGTATTTTGATGAAAGTGTCACAACAGTGTCGCATGATGTAATAAAGGAAAGAATCAGAACAGGGCGACGACTGCTTTTTGTTAATTTATTTCTAAAACGAATACAAGACTTGTTTCTTGTTACACTGCATTCTTTTATTCAATTTGTGTTCTAACATTAATTTTGTATTTCTACAGTTAGTATATTCCAAATCTAGGCATCTTGTTTTTTCGGCCCTTCATGTTTTTTTTTGCGCTTTCACATTAAATTTAAGGTCTCCAGTGGACGTCATCCATAGCAATTACTAGTACTTGGTGTGGCCGTAGGAAATAACCTGACACATGTCCAACCTATCCTCCCCTTGCTGCCGTTATAGTACAGTCCCTCAATGTAACAATATTTGATCCCATCCATTATGGGTTCCCCTCCATGGCCAGCTGTCAGTTGTCTCCAAGCAGAGGTTGGTGGGGGACAATTGTTGTTTCTAAACACAAAAGGTCTGGTACAGTGACAAGGGGACCCCACACGAGGCTCGTTAACGAACTTAACCTTGGTCAACAGTAACCTGCCTACCAAAGATTATAAACCTCAATTTACATATACAAAAGTTATTCTGCTAACAAGCCACAAAACACAAAAGGTGCACTAACGTAACGTACGGACCCCCCACAAAACCCAAACTTGCACTTGACTTCGGCCTCAACAACGGTAATCTGCCTTCCAAAAATCATGGATGTCGAATCATGCCTTCAAGAGTTATTCTGCTAAATCTGCTGTCACCCACAATACGGCGAGACAATTCCATAGTCTTTCTGACGAAGACAATAAAACAAACTGCATCATCCTAATAACTAGCCATACATGTAACTAGTGATAACCAGCCAACGACCGAAAATCAAATAAATCTGTCAAGAAGTAATTGAGTGAACCTTCACTAGATTGATATCATGTAAATTTTACAGCTTTTCTGTCACTGTGCATTGCATAATCAGTAACTTGAAACATGGCATAACAATTTTTCCCCAAATACCATGAAGTTTACATTATCAAGACCATGTATTGCTGTATACAACACTGTCCACCACTTGACCCTCTTGTCTGCCTGGCTGTATTCAGCTGTTGCTCACCTGCGGCATGATGGCCATTGTGTGCTACCTGTACACTGTGCTGGCCTTCAACTTCTTCCGCAAGTTCTATGACAAGGGTGAAGAGGACGAACCAGATTTGAAGTGTGAAAGCATGTGGACGGTAATGTGGATTTTGGAAATCTTCGTTTTTGAAATTATGCGCTTGTTGACTTTTCTTTACACATTGTTCTGTTACCTCACTGCCTATGTCTAAGTATCACTGCCTCACAATAGAGTGATGTCTCTCTCTCCCCAGTGCTTCATGTTCCACATGTACGTTGGAGTCCGAGCTGGTGGTGGCATAGGTAGGTATGCTGTGTGGGGAATTGATTTAATAGCTGTGTACGTTAACATATTCTTTAATGGTTTTAACGTAAACAGGTAGATCGCAAGTAACACAAGATACATGTATGTGTCTACCGTACATACATGTAGAAGTCGGCAGTAAACAGATGCTCTGCCCTGATAAGTAAGGACTAGAATAAAGATGTGGACAGTAAATAAATATATTATTCATTTTATAATTCACCCCAGTTGAAGCTTATTACAATTTACAATTCATTTTTGTTTGTTTCGTGGGCAAAATTCTTGCAATATGGGACCGCCAGATGTAAATGACTCACAATTGTCACTGAAGGTACAGAAAGCCAACAGATGATATGCTTAATGAATTGCCACAAATAGCATGGAATACATGGGAATGGGAATGAGTGTCGAGCTGAACAGCTACTTAATGCAACTCGGAATATATATATATATATATGTGTGTGTGGGTGTGTGTGTGTGTGTGTGTGTGTGTATGTGTATAACGTTATATATATGTGTGTTTGTGTGTGTGTGTGTGTGTGTGTGTGTATAACGTTATATATATGTGTGTGTGTGTGTGTTTGTGTATGTGTGTGTATAACTGATTGTACTTATTCATTCCAGCAAAATTACTTGAAAACATATTGTCTGAACTCTGCCTGCAGGTGACGAGTTAGTGGAGCCAGATGGGGATGAATACGAATACTACCGTATGATCTTTGACTTCACCTTCTTCTTCCTGATTGTCATCATCCTGCTGGCCATTGTCCAGGGTTTCATCATTGATGCTTTTGGTGAACTGAGAGACCAGGCCAACTCTGTGGAGGAAACATTAGAGGTGGGACACTCTAACTGTGCTTCAAAAGTTAACAAAAACAAGAGGTCCATGACCTCATACCTTTGCCAAATGTTCTACTGTCTTAGACTTTAAGACAGACTATCAAAACATTAGCACTTGAGGGGGTTCAAGTTGCGAAAATCGTTGGGGGTTGGTGGAAAAAGCAGTCCAGTCTGATTTGGGGGTGGAAAACGCAGTCCAGTCGTTTCTGCATGTAGTAGCGCCCCCTTGCGAAATTAGATGAAAGTGCGAGCAGTCTGACGTGTTACCACATGACATGGCATGAACTGCAGGAACTAGCTTTACTCATTTACATAACAGTGACAGTTTTTGTCATGGTTAACTGTTTTTTCCAGTTCCTTCACGTGTGATTAGTGTGGTCCAGCAGTCCAGTCCAGTTCTCTCAGTTCATTTTGTGACAACTGAATAAGAGTGACAGATGTCACTCGAAACGTCCAAAAGTAATCTCCATAATTTATCTAGCTGATGACTGATATTGTTATGTGTACATGTAAATGTGTAACTACATATTACCGTTGTGCACATATTAGAGTGTACAAGAATTAAAGAGTTTACATAACATAAATAAGTACATATTAGAGCTAACATTCTTCACATTCTTCCCTTCACAGAGCAAATGTTTCATCTGTGGCATAGATGCAGAGTACTTCAACGAGTTACCAAGAGGATTTGAGATACACACGGAAAAGGAGCACAACTTTGCAAATTATATGTGAGTTCAGAATGATTCACAACTTGTTCCAAATGTATTTCCATTTGTCCTCTCCTGTAATCTCTTCCTAGCAATTATCTTGTTCAAGAAATTGGCATCATACAGGAGAATCATTGTGCTACATGTGTAAATGGATATACATTTTTTGGCGACGCCTCAGGGGGGAGCCTAATGGTACAGTATTGTGTGCAGTTTGCAAGAATTCTAGGAATTGCACAGGCATTTTTTTCCACAGGAATGGAATGTCTACAGGCATGTCTGGGATTTTGCTGACACACATCTATGCCCACATTCCTATGTAGTGAAATTCCAGGAAACCCTTGGGACATTGTGGAAATTGTACAGATTCACAACTGAGCAGACACATGCTGATTTACATCCCTGTCCACTCCCATGCAACATTATCTAGCTCATATAGCTATAGCTCCCATGATGTTAATGAAGTAAGCAGTAAGTGAGTTTTCTGAATTAGTGTAGAACATCTTCCCCTACGTATCATCGACAGTCTTCAACTCTGCTGCATTTGAACAGGTACTATATCTTTCTCTCTATAATAATTGAGAAGTTTATTGCAAATTCATGCCCGGAGGTTAATTGCCAGTTACAAACATAAAAGAACATTGAAGAACAGTATATAAAATAACTAAAATCCACATAATGAAAGGTAGTTGTCTAAAATTATAGCTACGTCTAAGTCTAAAACTATGTCTGAAGGGTTTGACTTCTCTTTTATAACTGTAGAAGACACGTGTAACGTTATATCTGTAAGTCTCCTTCTCAGCATTTCCCCAACATGTTCAGGGTCACAATGTGAGTTATCAGAATGCCACAAAGAGGAGTATCCATTATGATCTAATACCGGTATGTCTTTAACACGTTGCAATAAAGTTTGTCTACGGGTATTTGTAGGCTTGCTGTAAGAGAGAGCATCCGTTTGAAGGGAGTGTGAGGTTGTGTCCATTTGGACCAAGCATAACCAGAATTTAACTACTAGTATATCTATATACAAATATCTGTATCTAAAGGAAGTCTACCTAATTCTGCTCTACAGGCGACATTGCTTACTATTTCTAAATACACCAAGAACATTTTTACAGAATTGGTTGTGTACATTTTCGATAGGTGAGGTCTCATATGTAGTTTAATATGATATTTCTTGTGGACATCAGATATTGTAAGATTATGACTATTTGCTTTTTGAGGATTCCCCCTGCACCGCCGTCACTCAACATTTACGGTTCAGAACTTGAAAGTGTGGCAGTTGCATGTCTCCTGGGAGTCTGGCTCCAGGCTAACCTGAAGTGGGAAACAAACGTAACCAAGATGCTCAACAAAGCAAACGGCCGGCTGTTTCTATTAAGGAGACTGAAACACTTCAACCTCCCTGTGAATGACTTACTGCAGGTCTACAAGTCATACGTGAGACCTGTAGTAGAGTACTGTGCCCCGGTATGGCACCCAGGACTCACTAGTTCCCAGTCAGCTCGCTTGGAGAGGATACAGAAGAGGGCACTGCGCACCATCCTGAGGGGTCAGTACGTGGACTACAACTCAGCCTTGCACACTACAGGCCTACAGTCACTCAGCAGCCGACGCACGGACTTATGCCGGAAATTTGCTTCTAAGATCAACCCTGACCTCCTCCCACCGAGAGGAAGCGAGGAGCATGGCAGGAACACTCGAAATGCTAACAAACTGAGAACTGTGAAGTGTAGGACAAATAGATACCAAAACTCTACCATACCATACCTAATCCGACTGTTAAACGAATGAATAGCAATATTATTTTCAACACAACCCTTCAGAGAACTTGAAGAAGGAAAAAATTGTGACTTATGTGATGAAAGAGTTAGGCCCGCATGTATGTCGTACTGTTCGCGAAAAATATCTATGTGTATTATATATCTATTATTTTAATCATCTTTTAATCATCTGTAACGGAGACATGAATGTTTAAGCCATGACAGAACTGATTTTAAATAGGTAAATTTAATTATCGTTTTTATATTACAACTGAATGACACTTTTAAAGTACTTGTAATGGAATCTGCAATTCAGCCAGAAGGCTGCGAGAGTTTCTTTTCTAATAAACCATTCATTCATTGACGTTCAACTTGATAGGTTGTTAACGTTAGGTAAGCATAACCAAATCCCTCGACTAGATCAATTTTGTTATAGGACAATTATTCCCCGGGTAATCATTCTCAATGGCAGATTATTTCCTGTACATTTAATAGTCCTTTATAACAGACTTACGTTTCACCTAAAATTAAAATCACACAAATCTATCACAGTTCCAACAACAGAGGAAGATTTTTACTTTTTACGATCGACACAGGTGTCCTATAGGGTTCTTTTTATTCATAAATACATTGGATGTTGTATTACCTTCTAAGGATTGCCAGGCCGTAAGAAGCACGTGGAAGGTCCCCATTTGGACAACCACACAGAACTGAAAACTAGCCCTTGTAGTGGTGAAACAGACCGCCGTGTTTCCCTGATGGGGTCGGAAAACACCTCTAAACTGACCCGCTGAGACTGGTTACCAGGCTTGTAAACTCTGAACTCATGATCAGGCCGCGAATCTGTACCGGCCTCCCTGTGATGACTGCCTCAAACCAAGCCAAAGTGATCTCTCTTTCCAGCCCCACAATCAGTCTGCTTTCCTCACATACCTACAATCATACCCACATTCCTTTCCCACATGCCTTTCAAGTGTATGTCCTACATTCTGACATTCTGGTCCACATTCCAGGATTCCCCACATGCCTTTCAAGTGTATGTCCTACATTCTGGACCACTTTCCTACGAAGTGAAATTCCAGGAAACCCTAATGACATTGTGGAAATTGAACAGATTCACAACTGAGCAGACACATGCTGATTCACATTCCTGTTCATGCCCCGGGCCCCGGAGGCTAATTGCCAGTTACAAACATAAAAGAAGAGCAGTATATAAAATAACTGAAATCTACAAATGAAAGGTATTTGTCTAGAATTATAGCTATGTCTAAAACTATGTCTGAAGGGTTTGACTTCTCTCTTGTAAACTGAAGAAGACATGTGTATATCTGTAAGTCAGAGTCCTTCTCAGCATTTCCCCCAACATGTTCAGGGTCACAATGTTGATTCGGAATGCCACAAAGAGGAGTATCCATTGTGATCTACATTGTAATACCGGTATGTCTTTAACACGTTGCAATAAATTTAGTCTACGGGTATTTGTTGGAAGACTTTGCTGTAAGAGGAGAGCATCCATTTGAAGGGAGTGTGAGGTTGTGCCCATTTGGACCAAGCATCTACCTAATTCTGCTCTACAGGCGACATTGCTACTATTTCTAAATAGATATAATAAGAATTCTAGGAATTGTACAGGCATTTTTGTCCACAGGCATGCGGAATGTCCACAGGCATGCGGAATGTCCACAGGCATTTCTCTGACCCACATCTATGCCCACATACCTGGAACCCTGAAGACCTGTCTGCCCCAGATGGTCCTACTTTCTGTGACCCCGGGGCTCGTTCACTATGCGCTCAGGGGAGGAGTGTACTATATCTGTCTAGACTTAACCAAAGTCCAAGTACCAAGTCTTCCTCAAAATCATGAAATGATGGCAGTGCCATTCAAACAATAACCCTAACAGCAACCACCGTCGCCATGGCAATGTATGTTTTCATTGCTAGTCTTGTTAGTTTGTCATACTGTCTCCTGAAACCTGGAAGAACAAGATTTATAACTCGTGTTCCACAAGCTCATACTTTCACTAAATTATGCTAAAGAAGGCTATTATTATAATAGCATTTCCTCATAAATATTCAAATCAGGTCTTTGTTTACATAACTACTGTAATACATGTATCTAGCTGTCGATGTTCCTCTCCGTCTCAATTACTTGTCACCAGTTTGAATAGTCCTATCATGGAACACAACAGATTTAGAGAATTTATCATCAATTAATTAAAATAGATCCTGATTTGCATGCCTAAATTTCATCTAATTACATGTATATCAAGCTTCTTCTTCTTTCGGTTGAGGTGACCACCTTCAACATTTTAGCTTCATACCAGAATTCATGACGATCCATCAACTGGTTCTTGGGTTATACTCCTTCAAATATTTTTCAACAAATGCCCTTGCGGGTCCAGAACAAGCTGCTTAGGGGACCAAACTTACAGAAGTGACATTTGCAAGCCCAAGGGCATCCACTCCTTAAAAATCATGAACCTGTCAGTTCCCCAAAATTCAAAGCTCATTTGCAGTACCACAGGTACCTGAGAGGAGGCCTATTATCGAACTTGACTGTCCTCTTCGCGACCCATACTTATCCACTAAATATCCACAAAGGACTATGGCAAACACGGATGGCCTGCCTCAGTTCTAAGCACTGAATGTGGCGATGATGATGATGATGATGATGAAATATCATGCAAGGCTCCTTGAGTTATGTTGCACATACATGTACACAAACCCAGATACGTACACAGTCCTCAGTAGTACCTTAGGAAAATGACATTTTCGAACTTGATCTTTGTTTCAAGTGCTGCTCACCTGCCAAATGTGATTAAGATCAATTCACAACTTCTTAAGTTATGATGTACACATACAAGCACACAACACCTCACCCCTGACCAGTGCACGTTTAGAGAAGAGTGGTCATGCTGTGGTCAAGTACTTAATCCAGTACAACCAAGGAGGTCCATATCATAGAGTCTCTCTTCATAAACTGCAGATTCTTTGTTGAAATGGATGGCAACCATAGCAGGTGGAGAGTGCAGAAGAATGGCTTACCTCAGGGCTCATTATTAGCCCCAATGCTCTTCAACATCAATACCAAAAACCAGCTGACCTTCAACAACATCCAGAGGTTCATCTGTGTGGATGGTCTCTGCCTTGCAACCAGGCAAAAAACTTCGGAAGACATTCAGAATCGTCTTGAAGATGCCCTGGAGTCTTTGTCCTGGGTACTACAGATCTTAGTTCCTGAATGCTAACCCTAGAGGAAAACCCTGGTCTGTGCATTACATGTAAACAACCACATAGCAACAAGGAAACTCATAACCATGTGGGAGGGGAAAGAACTTGACCCTGTCCTTCAGAGGGCATGTCACCAAGCTTGGGAAGAAGATGTCTGACCGCAACAATCTTCTCTACAACATTGTTAACTTTAGCTGGGGAGTGGACCCCAACACCCTCAAGCAGACTGCACCGTAGCATGTTGAGGACAAAAGATACAGAAACAGGAAGTTCTGCTGCAGTACCAAGGTCAGCCACAGGAGACTCATATTTGACCTTGACCTTTGTCTTCCTAAGACTTACCAACATACCAACTATCTTCACAATTCAAAAAGGCGTTCTGAAGTTATGCTGAACACAATGTTGCGGAGTCACTGACAGACACAAGATTCTGTGCGAACAAGTATGAAAGGGTTGCTGGTGTAACGGACTATGTACTATGCATGATGTACATAATGACTAATAAACTGGCGGATGTACCAATCACCAAGTATCTACATGTAATACCAGCCCAGAAAAGAACAACAAACAGTCTTCAAATATCAGAATTATCAACCAAGAATTGAGGTGTTCAAACACTAGTATTTTCCAAGAACTATGATCGTAGAGTGGAACTTATTGCCAACAAGCACAGTTAGGGCATCATCATTAGAAAGCTTTAAACAACTCCTGCAATTAAATGTGCAAAGATTGGGTGCAACTGTAACAGGTTGTTTAATGTAATAAAGCTAGTTGCCACCGCACTGCCAGCGAGGCTGGTGTGTTACGCCAAAGGGCAGTTATATAGGCTAGACCGATACATCCACAGCTTCTTGAGTTATGTTGTATACGTACATACATACATACATACATACATACATAGAGACAGCCTGCTACAGTACGTGAGAAAGTGGCATGTGAACCATTTTCAAACTTCCTTGACCTTTGTTTCTACAACTGCTACTCACCTACCAAATATCAGTAAGATCCATTCACAGCTTCCTGAGTTATATTTTTACACCTTCCTCAAAAACAGGACAGCACCCAATGCATCTTCAAGAACACGATTCATGTGGAAGTTTTTTTTTGTTTCATGCTTTGAAAGATGGCAACCTACACCTCCTGATAGAACAAAAATGATTTATTGTTTGTCATACCATACGCTGTGTGTTTTTGTAACCTTTGTAATCAATTATTTTCTTAAAAACTTAAATGTCCTATTTAAGTTGAAACTAACATACATGCATTCATGCACTCTGTAGGTTCTTCTTGATGCACTTGATACAGAAAGATTCCACGGATTACACAGGACAGGTGAGTGCCTTAAACTGTCTTATACATACACGTAGACTTAGTTGCATGTAAAAGCAGACAACTGTGCTAAAGCATTCCCTATTCATTTTATTGAAGACAGCTTTGTCCATAGAAAGCTGTAATGTTACTGTAACAGTCTTCCCAGAATTCTGTACAATGCATCTATGCATCTACGTCAGTAAATAATATTTTCGAATGAGGTATATTGTAATGAGACTCCATACCTTCGTTAGATGATGTTAACCTTTATGACTGACGAATTATGTGTTCATTTATTATGCAAATAAGCTCATTTGCTTACAAATTATAGTCAGATGGTAGCATTTTCTCATAAATCATGCAAATGAGGTCCTGATTTCGATTAATTACTTTTAACCTCCAAATGTCACAAGTATAAAATTCTGAGTAGTTACCACGATGAAATTATAAAAGTAGTTTCTCGTTAATAATGCACATTAGGGCTTCATTTACGTAATTGATATATGATTTTCCTCTCCTTCTCAATTGCATATGTCACATAAGTTTTCATACTGGTCTTTTGGAACGCAGCAGCTTTATATCACATCATTGATTGTGCAAATTAGATCCTGGTTTGCATATCGTCTGATTATGTCAAGCATCACTCAAGCTACTTACATAGTATAAACCACCTGTTCTTCAGTTATCCTCGTTTTAAACAAGCTGTTTACCATCATGTCGAGAACATGAGATATCAAAACCAGACGTTCTGCTGCCATAAGAAGCCGCTAGTGGCTCAAAATCTAATCATAAAATCATGAATATAGAATACAACACGGTTTATTCCGTATCACCTGAGGTCCTAAACTGAGACCGAAAGTGATGTGGAATACACTGTGTTGTATATCATGTCATATCCATCCAAGAAAACTCGCCTTTTAATGCAAGATGTGCCAATGTTTGTGTCCCTAAACAAATTGAAATACAACAATGTCCAAATTCGGTATTCGAATTTTCGGAAGCGGTGCATGTGGCTCAGGGGAAATGCATTTGAATTATTCTATGGAACATTTGGAAGCACGTGTGATAATCAAATAGAACCCCAGGCTGTGTCGTAAGTATCACACTTGCCGGAACACCCAAAGGCCATATCAAACATTATCGCGGCCCAGGTATGATATATAGATCCATCCATGACTTCCATGATATACTGTTCACAAACATAAAGTGTCCATAGGCAACAGTTCTCAGTGAAGTTTTATATTTTGTAAATACATGTACATAAGATCAACAACACGACAATCTAAACAGATGAACAAAGTCGTCATCTTTGATAACATTATCTTTCAAAGTTTCATTTGCTACATATTATTTATTTGACAAGGTAATAAAAATTTCTAGTAGATGCAAACCATAAGTCACAATTCCAACAGATACTCGCAAACGATTATACACAACAACCACCTAATCACCTAATTCCCAATCACAGAGAAATACAACGGAGAGAACCATAACTTTAAGCTGCGAACACGTTTCAAAACGGCCTACAATACCTTACAACGGGTGATCCAACAGTTGTTTCTAATCGACGACCCACCGTAGCTTGAGAAAAACACTTTAAATGTAGGGGTGTTTCTGAAATATTACATTGATCACGAAAACAGCTAACATATAATGGTAAAAATAAAAATCACGAGCATGCCTGCAGACGACGTATAAAATTACAAGCCTTGTGTTTTAGCTGCGAACGCAAAAAAAAACGACTAACCACAATACTCCTGCAGGAGGGATACCTCCTTCACGGAGTAAAAATTGATACACAGACAGACGCATCAAATCGCAAAATCATAACCTTCTTTGCGAAAGTGATTATTATAAGGAAGTGCAAGTTGTGTGTATTATATGGTGTTTGTGTATTTGCAGGAGTCCTATGTGTGGCAGATGTATCAGGAGAGAAACTGGGACTTCTTTCCAGTGGGAGAATGCTTCCGTAAGCAGTATGAGAATGAGCTGAAGGAGTAGAGGAATAAGATCGAGAATCATCAGGACCACTGTAGTAGGTAGGGGCATGGGGTGGTCAACACCAACAGACTAGTCATGTACACTTATGTCTTCAACAGAAGAGGAGCTGAGTCTTGAGTTTGCCAGGCAGCCATTATTACCCTATTCCTCTACTTTACAAGGCAGGGTGTTGTTAGGAAGATAATGATGTTTACAGCTAGTAAGCTACAGCTATATAGGAAGATATATCTCAAGGCTCTTGTGGCAGTTGAGAGAGATGTAACAGCTGATAACAGCTGACAGGAATCATTATCTGTCTAGTTCTTACCAGAAGAATGAAAAGGCCCATATCAAGTGATGAGTACACTATATACATGTACATGTATGTATCATCATATAGTTACAGGTCAACTGAAAAACTGGAAAAAGTGGTATGAATTCATAGACTCGAAGAGGACTTATGTTTGAAGAAATTATAAATTTTAACAAATGAAAAAGTAATAAACATAGAAAAACATTAGGCCTTTCTGAAGCAGTGACTTGTCAATACAAATATACCAAAACAACATCACTGTAGGCTGCCAAAATAGACTGTAGTAGGACATGTAGATATGCTGCCGCTGAAAACTCGTAATTTTGAATAATGTACAAGATTTATTTATTTGCATGAATGTTTGTTATTTTGACTGTTGCAAAAAGTTGTAGGTGAAATGTAGACAACTGCTCCATTAACCCACCTTTTTGATGTTAGGATGATGGGGCTGTAAAGGTTTTGTAATTAAACTTATTATACTCATGAAATAAACCAAATGTACATGATGTATGTTGACCAGTTTGTACCCACTCTAGCATCATAGTTTTATCATACAGAAATTTAGAAGGCTAGAATAGACCCTTCAGTCTAAGAACGATGTTGTAGGTGTAGAACAGAAGTGGTATTTTATTCGTAAACCAATTTTTAAATGTTAATGCTTGTTTGTGTCTTTTCTGGATAATTTTCTATAATCTCAAACTATGTAGTCTGTTGCTGTCAATTTTAACAATTTCAATGCAAATGTACATGGCGCAGAATCCTGTCAACTCATTTTCAATTCTAACTTTGAAGATTACGACATGTAGATATCACAAGCAAATAAAAATAAAAGATTGGATGGTGAAATGCTGCCGTTGAAGACTTTGGAAGAGCAGTTGTATTGTAATGACAAGGGAAGCCAAAGTTTTAGATATGCAAAAGAATGCAGATAGATAAATAACTCGCACCTGTCACTGTTTGAGGTTTATTTTGTATAAGATCTGAGATTGTGCTGAGGTGATGTGATGACTAGGGAAGAAGCTTGAAGCAATCCTTTAGTCTACATCTCATCATCCCAACCGTATCACTTGAATGTGAGCTGCAACTTGGAATGAAATAAAGGAGAAGTGTGTTCTGATGTGTGCTATAATTGATAACAAATAAATGGTTTCCTTGTCAACCAGAAAGAATACAGTTGCCTCTTACTGTTAAGCATCTGGCAGCGGCACGGTTTGACACGAGTGACACAGATGGTATGATGATGACTGGTTTATTATTCACATAACATAAACATACAAGTTAAAAGTCTGTGGCAGCCTAAATGGCTGAATTGTAGACTTTTTACAATTTAAAATCTTGAAGAATATTATCAATTCAGACTTCAATACAAACACTACATATACATAGGAAATACAATATCAACAGTACGAAAAGTCTGTTCGGCCATTATAACATCCAGTATGTTACAAAACGTATCGTTCAGCAACTTGTCATATAGTATATCGAGCTCTTAGTGAATCGAACAGTTCTGGGTCTGAGAGTTTGTAGCTGTTTACTCGACTTTTCAAAGATGTAGACTTGGCCTACGATACTGTGCGCGGCCGACATAAGCACCAGAAGCCTAGTGCCGAAATGATTTGAGAACTCGGCTCCCAGCGCCAAGAGTCCCCGAGCACTGGAACCGTCTAGATAGGTTATTCCCTGAAAACTAAATGGTATACAACATAACTTTTACCAAAAGTGTTTATGACAGAATATTAGGGTGTACTAAATCTTATGTTGCCCATAGCAACACCGGTGACGTCATAAAATGACGTGGTGCATATTTAAGGTATCCGCCATCTTGGATCATTAATCTTGAATTTTCAAAAATAGTTGGGTTTTTTTCAGGATAAAGCCTAAAATACATTGTAAACAGACTAAAGACGTTCATATGAAACTTTTTTGTAAAAAGAAATTGAAGTATTGATTAAATTTTTTAAGGAAAATAACCTGTATATACCTGTTCTAATGATATGTTCCGCCATCTTGGATTTTGGCCAATGACGTCGTCAAATAAGCACAAATTGTGCATTTTTAATGATAAGATTTACATAAAAGTACACACACACACACATACAGATACACACACAGACACACACACAGACGCTCAAGAGTATGTGGTATTATAGGAGGTAGGTACGTTAGAACATCTAATTTCACCAGGAAAAGACCTAGGAAGGACAGACTGCGTGGCTGGATGGCGTTCAGCACCAAGGACAGGGACGTTTATTGTTGACGAGGCACACACTCATTTTTCTAACGAAGTACATGTAGTCGCTCTTAAGTCATGTCATATAGCCTCTACCAGACTTCTTGAGGCGGTTATCTCCGTACTTGGCCAATTTCTGCTCTTTCCAGCCGCCTCCCGAAGCCTGGTAGAGGCTAAGTATCATAGGCGGTAGGTACGTAAGAACATCAAATAGTAAGAGGAAAATACATCGGACTTGCTGAAAGGGTATGTACGTGTATGGATGGCACCAAGGGCAGGAACGGGTATTGTTGAAGTGGCACAAAAAAGTGCCTTTTTTGTGTGCATGAATGCCCCAAAGTTGCTCAAAGCTAACTTCACCCAAGAAAAAGATGCTTCCCAACCATACACAATCAGACGCACAACCCGCAGCAGTCTCTCCACTGGAAAACATGCCCTCACTGTGCCGGTATCTAGAACTCAAGCCACCGGCAGAACCTTCATACAGACTACAGGTTACATCTGGAACAGTCTTCCAGACAACGTGGTCGACCGGATCACTGACAACAACCTCTAGTTATTCAAAACAAGAGTACACCGGTGTCTTCTTACCACCACCAGGACATCTGCATGTAGCTAGAACTTTGCTGTAAACCAATGATTAGCCAGGAGTGTTACAATCCAGGCTATTGTTTACATTAGCACATGATAGATAGAAATACAAATTTATGCCGGATGAGACTGCCGACCCGACCGCTAGGCTCATACAGTATTTCGTAAAAGCGCGGGTAATTCCTTATTTGGAACGCATGAGGGGCTCCGAGCCCCGAGAAACTGACCAATCAGAGTTCTTAAATTCCATGTGCTCGCAGATCACTTTTCACTACTCTCAGAACAACAGCGGAGGACATGGAGGGTGACATTTCAAGTTCCCCTCTCCGTTACTTGTGAGGAATATTCGCGAGAATTTAATGCGAATTTTGGTGGGACACCAGGTCTGTGCCAGACCCCCGAAATTCCGATTCCTCCTGGAAGGAGATTGCTTTACCTTTTGCGGTAAGTCTGTCATAGTTAGCCTGGTTACCAAACATATTATAGCTCCCGTAGGACTCGGGAGCTATGATAGGTTTGGTAACCAGGCTATGTCATGGTCCAATCTTATGCTATCTTGAAAACATGGCGGAGAGTGAGGGTGCCCCGGGAGGACCCTTGACAGCTTTGGTCATACTGACCACTATATTGCTTGCAGATTAGATGTACATGTACTTTTGAAAAATCACACTGAACGGCATATAGTTAAACCTCCTGTTACATATCCCTACATAGAGTGGGAAGGGGGCGTTTCCGGTTACATAATATCTGAAACACTTGTAACTTGCATAGCTCTCGATTAGGGATGAGATACCTGATTATCAACCACTGCTTCATATATACCTGTCCAGTAACAATCTAACTTGGAAAACCCTGACTCGAAGTAATATATTGTTTATTGATGCTATTTAGCAGTCCTCCCCAGACTTGACCGGGTTGCGTTATTATCGCCTAGCGGGCTCGTTTGGTGGGTTCTTTCGTCGCGATAGCTCCTTTGGTGGTGGAAAAATCCTGATTGACATTATGCTAGATATCGTACAATCTATAGGAAAGTTGTAACATTGACATACTACTTTTACGCTAACAACCTTTTCATGACACGTGCATATCGGTTGTCATGGTAACCATCATGCCAGTTAACGAACATTGTGAACCATACACAATTTCCTACAGCTGTCTACCAATTTGGATTAAGTCTATGTCAGTATTAAAATACCTTATATTCCCGCCAAACAGCTGAACAGTGTCGGTATATTATTTGTTTCCATTTCTTATGAAGGCGTCGGACAACGAGATAGGCATAAATTACTTTTCGTGAAACGAAATACAAATTTATGCCGGATGAGACTGCCGACCCGACCGCTAGGCTCATACAGTATTTCGTAGAAGCGCAGGTAATTATGTTTATCGAAGGAAAACATATTGTTTTTACTCTATTTCTTCTTCTTCTTCTCCAAACACCTAAAATCGTCGATATTTTCGTAATATTATGAAAGAATAAAATTCAGCATACTGTTAGGTTGGTACATCAGACACTGAACCGCGGTCATTTTAGCCAACAAGGATGTAAAAAAATGATTTTATTTAAAAAAAAAATGGGTGAAAAAAGTTGCATGTTAAGCCAAAAATCAAACAAAAAGAACGCGTTTGGAACAATAGAACAACATTTCGAATTCCTGTTCGAAAACCGCGGGTCAATGACCCCAGCGCTACGGAACACCGGAGATTTCCAAATATGGGCATCCGCCCTGGTATGACGCGAAAAAAGATCGGTGGACAAGTGTCAGTGGTAAGTTTTCCTTTTCCGTTGTAAAATACGGCCATATGAATATCAGTCTCGAGTAGAGAATATTGCATTGGGATTTGGGGTTCAATATCCACAAGTAGGACTACAGATTTCCACAGGACGCCGGCGACTTTGTGTAACTTTTTGCATGTCACCGCCGGCTCAAATTAAAAAAAAAGCACTTATAATTTACCAGCTCCTGACTTGATAGAATCTCGTATGTAACATATAGAGATTTTAGGCTTGTTGCCGTTTTGAAAATAAAGTAAACAGAATTGTCCTCATCCGTAACTATTGTCGACTTTGTAATGTAGGTGCGGGGCCGGAGGAGGGGGGACGTTTGTTTACGTTTATGACTCATGATATAACATGAATATAACATTACATTTTGTCGTTTTGTCAGAAAGTTTCAATCTTTTTTCGGGATAATACAGTACAGTTCATGGGATAAGCATCAAATCGGGATTCATCGGGATATCCCGCGGGATTTTTCGGGAACCATGTTGACTAAGATTTTTACAGACAGACGGTGCAGCGCATGTTTGTTTCCAATGCATGATGATAACGGTAGCACGAATAGTGTTTTAATCAAACATTTTTTTTATATCGAAAAATCTAGTGATAACAAAACGATATGTTTACGATGACAAACTGATACAACCATCTTGGTACGAGAAGTTCTGTCTGACCTTGCGATGTGGACGGCCCGCTAAGTGCTGCTTTTGATGTCAACCGACCCGCGCTATCTCAGATATAAAATCTAACACATCCACGTGCCATGTCGGCATTCGAGAAATTCTTTATTTTTTCTCCTAGATAAAGGAGGTTGACGCACGAAGTTGCGGAAGAGAGATTAAACATTATACAAAAGATGTTCTTTACACCTCTTGGCTTTGTTTACGCCGATCAATAATTGCTACATTTCGCGTTGATGTGACTGGGCCACGTTGCCATATAAACGGCACGCACACAGGATAGCATGCAGACCGTGCGGCGCCCAATCACGGCGCACAGACGGGGACCCGCCCACTGACAGGGCGGCAAGATTTTAAACTCAAAGGCTCGATGACTGACGATTGTAGCGATTTTTCGCCTCAGCCCTGCACGCGGCATTGCACTTTTCTCATCCTGAATTTATTCCAAAACAACGTTTTTCACAAGTGACATCGAGAACTAGAATGCTTTTCCCATCGGAAGAATTTTGCCAGCCGTGTGGAAGTACTTACTTTCTCAGGGTAATACGTACGTGAATGGACGTGGCCGGATCGTTGTTGATTGTTGCAAGGGTTTATTTATGTGTACGTGTTTGGGGAGAGGTGAGACGCATGCCCCGGGATTTTGATGGGCAAACTTTCCTAATTTTCGTAATACAGAGACTACTTGACGCAATCTGCTCATGAGAAGATGAGAAGACCTCAACAAGTATAAGATGTCACAATGAAACACAACTCCAGCCGATACGCCCCATTTTATTTGATGGTTTATAAACTTGCCGAAAAATTCACCGGAGACGAAGGGATTATTACAAATT